TGATGCCTGGTGTAGTGCGTCCTGCTGCTGCCGATGATGTTTCTGCTGCTGCCGACGTTGTCTCTGCTACTGCCGATTGTCGAATTGTTGCTAACGCTCGTGTTCGTTCTGCTTCAGGAATGGTGTGTGAGTACCAAAAGCCTCCCGGGCTGAAGTCGGGATCGAGATCCGGGGGATGCGTCGAATCGGCGAAGTTGACGATGGCGTCGCTGTCGGCAGTGCCTAGGTCGGGGACGAAATCGAGGACGACAACGTTGTTCTTCAACACCGCCTTTCCGATGTAGAGGCCGCCCTTCCCGTGGTACAACTTAAACTCCTGGGTGGTGCTGTCGGCTTCCAAGTGTATACCTTTCGCCATCAGCTGGCTGACACTCAGTAAGTTGTAGCCGAGTCCCTCCGCGATAAGCACCTTTGACATGTGTAATATGACGTTTGTTTCTCGTGACTGAAGCTGAACCACTCCTTGTCTTCGTGTGCGCAGGTTCTGATTGTTGGCGACCGTGATGAGTACTTCTCGCTGGAGTCGATGCTCGCGTTGAACGAAGCGCCCGGAGGAGCACATATGTTGTCCGCAGCAACTATCCAAGAACCAAGTGTCTTGGCCGGACGGTTCACTTTGAGCGATGGCAGCGTATGTTGGGTTCGGTTGAAGAGATTCGCGGCGAGGCGTACTGTTGTCAAGTTGTTCTTCGGGTGAGTAGTACGGTGGTGACTCTGTTGTGCAAAAGTCGTTTATCTTGACCATGCAATTGACAATATTTCTTGCTCCTTGTGTAGGTTGTCCAGATGAAGTCGTTGAAGCTTGGTGTGCGGTCGTCGGAGTTGCTTGCGTTGAAGCAACTTGGGAGCTTGAAGGCCGGAGTTGTCGCTATGGTGTTGTCGACTGCTGACGAGACGGGCAGTGTGTGCGGGGATGACCCGAGGTCTTGCAGATGTGAGAGAATGGAGGTACCGTCTTCATTTGTTGCTGTTGTCGATTGTTGTTGCTGTTGTATCGTCGCTGAGTGTGAAACGCGAACACCGGTGCTAATGATTTCTTCTTGTGTCTTTCTTCTTGCAGGTCCATATCCTGCTGCTCGGCGTGGATTTCGGCGCAGAGTGCCGCTTCTGAGATCCTCCCGTGTGCTCGTAATATGGCGCGCGTGAAGCGCCAGTGGGGGCCGAGACCACCGATGACCACCGTGACAAAGGCGTCTTCTGAGATTGACCCTCCGCATCGAAGAAGCTTGTCGCGCAGTTCGCGGCAGCGGCTGATATAAGCCATGCCTTTCTCGCCTGGTTTCATTTCAATCGTTGTCAACTGCGCCATTAACCTGCTTTGATTTACGCTGTCTGTTGCTTGATACAGGTTCTTCAGGTGGTTGTACGCGAGCTCCGCGGAGTTGCCGTAGCCTCGGTAAGTCCTGATGTTCTGCTGCTGGGTCGGGGTAATGTTTCTTAGCAGTATCGTGTACGCCATCATCGATTGATAGGTGTACTGCTGCTTCTCATATCGTGTCCCGTTTGTTGGATATGGCAGGGACCCGTCGAAGAAGCCGAGAATCTGTGCTCCTTCCATCATCAATTCGAACTCGAACGACCAGGTGAAGAAGTCTTTCCCGTCAAAGGGCTTTGTCGTTTGCAGCTTGAGAACGTGCGCGAATTGCGATTGAACTTGTAATGCATTCAATGCCCTTTCTTGTCCCGGTGCAGATTGCGGTTGCGGCATGAAACTGACGGAGCCACGCTGGGGTTCGTACGGCGCAAAGGTAGGCTGCTGTTGTTGTTGTTGAATCCCGCGTGCGTAGGATGATCCGTCGAGACTCATAGGAGTCACGTTATTGTTGTTGCTGTTGTTTGACTGCGCAGGTACTCCTTGCTGGTGTTGCTCGTAGAAGGACATGAAGGAGAAAAACTTCTCCATCATGCTTGGATCGAAGTCTACTGGCGTTTCCGTGGACCCAGATGCTGGTCTGGTGGTAGTCCCTTCCTCTGTCTTTAAGCCAGAGACAGGTGGTGGAGTAGGAGTAGTACCGAGAGAGCCGTTGGAGGAGCTCCTCTCCTTTCTGGTTGACATGTCTTCTTTGATGTAAGGTTTGCTGAATAATAAATTTAACTCTAACTGCTCTCATACCATGTTGGGCTGAGAAGCCCTAGGATCTTTGTAGAGTTAAAGTCTGAGTAGGATTGTAATAGCGGAAGCGTTGAATGAAAGGTCTTGAACCACCTTGCGCTAGTATGTGAGGGCAAAGTAAGTTGATTAAAACAAGCAAATACAAGGCTTTATATAAGAGTACAAGGAATACGAACAGATATAATAACTGTCTTGCTGTTGCGATTCGATACAGTGCGACTCGGGCAACTGCTCAATGTCGAGTCAGTTGTGTGTCCTTGATGTCGCGCTATATTGGTCAAGTCAAAGGTCGCTGACCTTTGACCTTCGCGTAACCTCCAGGCGGTTACCCTAACCTCCAGGCGGTTACCCTAACCTCCAGGCGGTTACCCTAACCTCCGAGGGTTGACTCGCGATGCTTCGATTCGGACTGCTTCGCTTTTGTGTCCTGAGTTTCGACACGACGGAGGCGCTTAAGAATTATTGTTCCCAACAGGTGGATGGAGGTGGAGCATGGGGCTCAACTGAAGAGACCTTGAATATTAGCAGGTAACTCCTCTGACCTGTGGGTAGGAGGAAGACCAAGAGGCCGTGGGTGGGTGGGCTGGTGGTTGCAGCTGCTGACACAGCAAGCTACTAGCGTCTGCTTATTCTGCATTACGATTATAGTACTGTGCCATATGCATTCTTAGGGCGTGTTCCTACAGCCCCTTATCAGGCGACCTCTTGTCAGACTTGTGCGGTTCAATGCGATCCAATGTTATTATGTGCGTTTCAGTGCGGTGCGACGCAAATCTGACAAGAGTTTCGCCTGATAAGAGGCCGTAGGAAGACGCCCTTATGTACATTGTGTTGCTTGTATCCAGATGAAATTAGGAGTGCTGTGTGGTGCCATGTTGGTTAACAAGCGTCATCACACAGAGCAGACCATTGGAATTGCTGTGTGGTGTACGTATATGTACCGTATTCTCCCGGATAAAACACCCCCCCGTAAATGTACACCCCCGGGTAGCTAATACGGGGTGGGTGTTACATCCGACCCCGTTTGTACTATACCCCCCCTTTTGGGGTGATTTTCTATAACACCCCCCTTTTCTTATAGATTCCTATTATAGCTGTTATCGAGTCCGATTCCTTACGGGGGGATATCGCGAGAATTGCTCCCTAGGTGAAATTTCGCGTGTACTTTCACTGAAAATCTGCCAAGATTTCCCCCCTCACACAATCTCGCTGTTGCCACGCTGGCGAATCTTCGGCTGCAAGTGGCCCAATAGGTGAAAATCACCTTCTCACATGGGGCACAGACACGTGACCAAACCAGTCAAGAAGTGACTGGTACAGTAAGAACGCACGACCGTGTGCGATTCTGGCCTCGGCGGTTGCATGAACCCTCGCCACGCAATTGGCTTTGTTTTCATCCTATCAAGTGCCAAAATTGCCCACTCGAATATGCCACGTTATCCTCGTATACTCGGTTTTGCGGCACTGGTCAACAATCTTGAAGTGAAGTCAGACACCTGATTTTGTTTCACATCTTTTCTACTTGATAAAAAATATACCATATAATAAGACCCGGGAATTATGTAGGATTTTCCTTTGAGAACCCGCCCCCCATTTTTTCCCAGTGGATTTCATAATACCCTAGGGTCAAGCCTCTCGATATCAGGGTAAAACACCCTTACGGCCCTTACTATAAGGATGGGTTTAGATGATCACCCTTGTCTTTAAAACTTGTTTTTTTAGGCACCCTTAGCCTAAAAAGTGTTCATTTTGTTAACACTGATTTTTAAGACAGGCCTGGTGTACTCGCCCTGATGACAAAGACTAGTGTCGCGTACCACCCTGATGCGATTTCACGCGGCGGGGGGGGGGGGGGGGGGGGGTGGTACTGACGAGATTTGGGCCGTGATTAGCGGCGTTTTGCTTGAGTCAGCAGATGTGCGCGTCGCCTTGACGGCTCGCGTCGCCAGTGCCACAGGCTCGTCAACTGTACCTGGCTCACCTGCAATCTTCCTAGCTGCCAATGCCGCGCAGCGCCACACACACCTGCTTTGTGCAGGAGGTGTGTCCACCAGTGAAGCTTCTTCTTCCCTCCCCAGCAGGCCCCCACCCACCGACCAGTCTCTCCCACGCACCCAACCCAGTCCTCCTCATCTCATTTCTCAATTCTGCCTCCTCGCTATCTCGTCTGGTCTAGAGTTTGCTTTGCACACCACCCCACCACCACGCTCTCCCAACAGCTAGCGTAGGCCCAGCTCCTGCAACCACCCCTCTGGCCCTCGTCATGGCTGCTGACGAAACCATCGATGGTGACGACGAGGCGGGCCGTGAACTCCAAAAATCACCCCCGCGAACGGGCCTCAGCTTTCTACGAACCCCCTCTAAGAAGCTGTCAGATCCGGAGCCCGTAGTTGCTTCAACCGAGGACGAAACCCGCGCAGATGATTCAGGGCCTGACCTGCGCTCACCTGAAGTTTGCACTACCACGGCGGAACCCTCACCTCCAGAAGCGACGGCTCCTGAAACGGAGATAGGCGATGCGGCTGGCGACTCTGCGAACAAGAAGCGCAAAGAGTCAAGCGGTGGCAGTGCTACGCAGTGGTGGCGACAACCGAAGCCTTCTGTGAAGCGGGCGGCACGTCCAATCCGACGAGTGGAGGTAGAGGGAAGTGATGACGACGAGGAAGAAGACGGCCTACCAACTGTCGAAGAGATGGCCCGTTACCCCGAGGTCGCTTTCGCTAAAGCGCATAAGCGGTTTAAGACTTCATGGGAGTTTGTGTTTTCGTGGCTAATTCTAACTCGTGATGACGTTGGCTTCCCCATTTTGAGATGCAGCACGTGCTTGGAACATGGAGTTGAAGGCGCGAAAACGGCTTATGGCAAGGGAGGCAGTGGAGGGCGTGACATGCAGAAGGGGAGCATCCGGACGCACCAGCGCTCCACCGCACACCAGGATGCACACGCCGAGATGAAGTCGAAGGAGAGCCGAAAGCTTTGTCAAACGCTGCTGAGCGAGTTCGAGGGGTTGGATCGCAACACTCTTCACATCATCACTGTTCTCAAGACTACCGTGTACATCTGCAAGTCGGAGGCGCCAATCACCTCCTACGTGGGCACCATCAAGTTCATGGCCGAGCTCGGAGTCCCGAACCTTCCCTTGGATTCCAAGGGAAACTACTTTTCGGAGTAAGTTTCGGGGTACTTGGTGTCGTTGTACTGGTTCCATTACAATTGTCTTGATTGATCACGTGCTAACCTCTGTGCTTGTATCATACAGGTACGGTTTCGGGGAGCTGCTAGAAGCTGCAGCGAAGTACATGCGGCAAGAGCAACTGAAGCAGATCGAGGCGAGCCCGTACATCTCCATTCAGCTCGATGAGAGTACTGACAAGGCGCGCGGCAAGCACATGATCGTCTACGTCCACTTCATGAAGGAGGGAGCGAGCGTCTGCGAGTTCCTCACGCTGCTGACAGTTGACAAGTGTGACGCGGCAAGTCTAGTCGACGTGCTACTCACCCACCTTGACGCCGTGGGCATGGACTTGTCCAAGATTGTTGGAATCAGCACCGACAGCGCCAGAGTAATGACGGGCACCAACAATGGTGTTGTGGCACGACTCCGGCAGCGGAATCCCTATCTCGTGTCGTGCCACTGCATCGCACATCGATAAGTCTGTCATTGTTACTGGCTGTATGGCAGGTGTGTGTTGATCATGTACTGCCCACTCACTTCAATTGCTCGTTTCCTCCATTCTACCTTGAGCAGGGAGGCGTTGGCCGCGAAGGATGCCGCTGAGAAGGTGACGGAGTTCAACATTATAGATCAGGCGGTGCGCAACGTGGCGGAGCAGCTTTCTAGGTCGAGCAACTGGCACCGGCGATTCGAGTACCTTCAGGAGTACATCTGCGAAACCAACCTGGAGCTGCAGGGGATCCACGACGTGCGATGGCTCTCTAGAGGAGAGGCAGTCAAGCGGTTTGCCAAGGTCCTGCCGACGACAATCATCCTGCTGCACGATTTCAAGCACGTGCTATACGAAACTGTCACCTCTTTCAAATTCCACTTCATGCTTTTCTTCCTTGCAGACATTCTTGCCGTGCTCAACGAGCTCAACGCCAAGTTCCAGAAGCAGCAGGTGACATGTGGAGTGTTTTGGTTGTACATATAGGCGTTTGTGTCACTGCCATGTTCCCGGTTGGTGTGCGCCGTTGAGACCCATTGTACATCAACCTCTGGCAGCAAGTATTCATCCCACGCCCACTCACAGGTTGACATCACAGTGGTCGCGGGGGAGGTTTCACTCGCTTGCCGGACGATCGAGGTGCGTTACGTGGACTGCGAGGATCGTTTCGACAACGATCAGTCGCCCCTGCTCTGCGCGTTCTTGAAGAAACACGGCAACCCCCAGCACCGCAAAGTCATTGTCCAAGGCGTGGACCAGAACGGCGAAGCTGCAGAGCACGATTTCGTGCTTCACGAGCGCAAGATCCCAGGCCATAAGACTGGCGGGGACTACTATTCTTGCAAGGCGGTGTGCCAGGAGTTTGCGAGGGTTTGCGTTGCGCGATTGGAGTTCCGCCTAGAAGACCTCAAGAACCTGGCCGGCTCCAAGCTTTTCCGGCCATCGTGCTATCCCGACGACAACGCGCAGCGGATGAAGAAGTGCCGCGAGTGGTTGGGCATGCTAGACCACATGTTTCACCACCGCCTCTCTGGTACGCCACCTGGTTGTGCCTGCAATGTGCTGTTTGCTGTGTGTGTGTGTACCTTGGTGTGCTGTTAATGTCAAATTATAATGTTGTGTAGGCTGGAGTGGGGTAGCCTGTATGGGGTACACATTTCTAGGGTTGCATATTTGTACCACTTTCATTCCTTAGTGCATCATTATCGTTTCTTCTCATGGAATCAGAGCAGGTTCCCTAACGGGACCGATTCCTAGGGCCCACCACTACGATTATTTTTTTTCTCTTGCCCGGAGCGCGTTCCGCTTAGGCCCGAGTCGCGCCTAGTGTGCTTTCCTTACCGTCGCGCCCTCGCTAGGCCCCTCACGGCCCCATCGCGTCGCCCTTAGCGGCCCCAAGCGGCCTCGCCGCGCCGCCCTAACGGTCGCGTCGCACCGCCCTATCGGCCGTGTCGCGCCGCCCTAGCCGCCCTCCCTGCCCCTTAGCGGCCTCTCGCGGCCCCGATCCGCCGCCCTTTCCGGCCCGTCGCCGCTCTCACCCTGCGGCCCCTTGTCGCCCTTTCACAGGCGGCCCCGTCGCCGCCCTTGCCTGCGGCCCCGCCACCTTACCTGCGGCCCCGCCGCCCTTTGCTGCGGCCCCGCCACCTTACCAGCGGCCCCGTTGCCTGCTGCTGCAGCCCCGCCACCTACCACCGGCCCCGCCACCTGCCTGCGGCCCCACCACCGTACCTGAGGCCTCAGCGTCCTTCGCTGCGGCCCCGCCACCTTACCAGCGGCCCCGTCGCCTGCTCCTGCGGCCCCGCCACCTTACCTGCGGCCCTGCCGCCCTTTACCTGCGGCCACGCCACCCTTTACCTGCGGCCCCGCCACCATACCTGCGGCCCCGCCACCCTCCAGTGGCCCCGCCGTCCTACCTCCGGCCCCGCCGCCCTACCAACGGCACCGCCGCCCTACCAGCGGCCCTGACGCCCTACGCTGCCGAGCCGCCCGCGCCGCTAAGCAGCCCAAGCCGCCCGTTCCGCCCGAGCCGCCCGAGCCGCCTAAGCAGCTGAGGAGCCGAGCCGCGAGCGCCGCCGAGCCGCAGTTGCTGCCGAGCCGCCCGAGTCGTCTGAGCCGCTGTGTTGCCGAGCTGCTGTACTGCCAAGCTGCCCGAACCGCCCTGTCTGGTGAGAGCAGCGTCTCTGTCACTGCACTGCCCCTGCCCTACAATTAGCGCTACTAGTCTACTGCGGTCATGGCTAGCCCCAGTGTTCTCGCTTTTGACGCTGAGGGTCGGGCCATTGACTTTGACGTCTGGGTAGATGACCTGCAGCTTTTCCTACAGTGCGATAGGGCAGATGGTCTCTCCCTCTTTGACCTCACCTCTGGTGCCTCCCCTGCCCCTGCTGCTGATGCCGACGCCACTGTTCGCTCACAGTGGGCCACTCTCGATGCTGCTGCACGTCTTGCTGTGCGTCGCCACCTCCCTACCACTGAGCGCGCGCACTTTAGTCAGTAAAAGAGTGCCCAGACCTTGTACGACGCTGTAGTTGCGCGCTACTCTTCCCCTGACATTGCTGCAGTGAGCCACCTCATGCTACCGTACCTCTTCCCTGACCTTGCTGCCTTTCCCACAGTCGCTGACCTCATTACGCACCTCCGCACTAGTGACACTCGCTACCGCGCCGCGCTTCCTGCTGAGTTCTGCGCCAAGAACCCCCCCCCCCATGTACATCACTCTCTATTATATAGTCACCCGCCTCCCTGACTCCCTTCGTGTAGTCAGAGACCACTTCCTCTCAGTCTGTCCCACCACTCTCACTATTGACCTCCTAGAGAAGGCCCTCCTAGCAGCGGAGAAGAGCATAGTCGCTGTAGGAGCCTCTCGTGGTGACCCTCGCACCCCCATCTTTGAGGGGTGTTCCCCTTCCCCCCTTTTGCCCTCTGTCGCCTCTTCTGCTGCGGCCGACCTCGTTGGTCTTGAGTCGGTCGGTGCGGCGTCTTCCCTTAGCGGGAGACGCCGCTCTGGCAAGGGCAAGGGGGGCAAGGGCGCGGGAGGAACTAGCGGGGGTGGTGGAGGTGGCAGTGGAGGTGGCGGAGGGAGTGGGGGTGGCGGTGGGAGTGGTGGCGGGGGTGGAGGTGTCGGTGGCAGCAGTGGAGGAGGAGGCGGCGGAGGCGGTAGCGGTGGGAGCGGAGGCGGCGGTGGTGGCGGAGGTGGAGGAGGCGGTGGTGGAGGAGGTGGAGCTGGTCGGGGTGGCGCTACGCAGCGGAGCGGCTCCGGTGGTGGTCAGCGCCACCAACAGCAGCAGCAACGTTCTCGGGACATCCCCCCACCTCAGCAGCTCCGTGAGTGGTACGCTGCACGTCAGTGTGGTGGGGGTACTATTCCGTGCACCTACGTCCTACGCACCGGCGAACGCGCGGGTGAGCAGTGTGGGGTTGCACACCCCACCCAGCGCTGCTTTGGCCGCCTGACGGACGCTTGGCGTCACCAGTTCCCGGAGGCCACTGAGATCCCCCGCTGAGGAGAGCTGTCTAGGGCAGGTGTAGCTATCTTTGATCTTGACTTTGATGCTATTCTTGCTGCCATGTATGCTGTGAGTAATAGTGATGAGGGTGACTGTTACCGGTGTTTCTCGCCCGACCCGGGCATTGAGACTGCTGCTCTAGGTGCTGGTGAGGCTGCTGCTCTAGGTGCGAGTGCGGCTGTTGCTCTAGGTGCCAGTGCGTCTGCGTCCTCAGGTGCTGGTGAGTCTGCGCTCTCAGGTACCGCGTCGGCTTCGGCCTCCCTCACCTTCACACTTGACTCAGGGGCTTCTCGCTCCTTCTTTCGAGATCGCACCACACTCACGCCGCTTGGTCGGCCGGTTGCAGTCTCCCTGGCAGACCCCTCTGGGGGTCCTGTCCTCTCTCACGTCTCCACTGTCCTCCCGTGTCCGGCTGCCCCCTCTGGCACCTTGTCTGGTCTTTACCTCCCCTCGTTCTCTACGAACTTGGTGAGTGGTGCTGACCTACAGGATGCGGGGGTTCACCAGTTTACTCCTGCGAGTCAGCGGGTGACCCACTGCTCGGAAGCTCGCACAGGCCGGCACCTGGCCACGATTACGCGTCGGCCGGGGTCGAGCCTCTACACCTTGACCACCGAGTCTCCTCCTGTCCCTGCGTCTGGCCAGGTAGCTGCGTGGGGTCAAGTGTTTGCTGCAGCGTCCAGGTCTGGTCCTGAGTCTGCCCCCTGCTCATGTCGCCTCCTGTCTCACGAGACTCTCCTGTGGCACCACCGTCTTGGTCACCCCTCCCTGCCTCGTCTCCGAGGCATGGCTTCCCGTGTCCTGGACTCTGGTCTTCCCCGGTCGCTCCCTCCCCTTCCTCCGGGGCCTGGTCCTTCCTGTGTCCCCTGTGTCGAGGGGCGGCTACGGGCTGCCCCTAGCTCCTCTCAGTTTCCCTCGACAGAGGCCCCGCTGCAGACGCTTCACATGGACGTGTGGGGTCCGGCCCCCGTCCGTGGACAGGGTCACGAGCGCTACTTTCTGCTAGTGGTTGACGACTACTCTCGCTACACCACAATCTTCCCCTTGCGCAGCAAGGGCGATGTCACTAAGGTGTTGATCGATTGGATCCGCGCAGCTCGTCTCTAGCTCAGGAAGAGCTTTGACTCGGACTTTCCTGTTCTACTTCTGCACTCTGACCGAGGCGGAGAGTGCTCCTCTGGCCTTCTCCGAGCCTACTGCCGTGCGCGAGGCATCCGCCAGACCTTTACGCTTTCGGAATCTCCACAACAAAATGGGATTGCTGAGCGCCGCATTGGCATGGTCATGGACGTCGCTCGTACGTCCATGATGCATGCGGCTGCCCCCCATTTTCTGTGGCCGTTTGCGGTTTGGTACGCGGTGCATCAGATCAACCTTCACCCCAGGGTCTCCATGCCGGAGACCTCCCCAGCTTTGTTGTGCACGGGGAAGGTTGGCGATGCGTCTGCGTTCCGTGTCTGGGGATCTCGGGCGTTTGTTCGC